TCTGTGCCAATGCTAAAATGCATTATACCAAAATCGTCATATGATTGATAATTACTCAGACATCATAAAACTTCCCAGAATCATTCCGAATTTGTTCAGGATGTCCTGAGAAGTGATTTAGAACGACTCTGAACACACCCAGAATGATCTCAAGATGTTTTATATTACCTGAAAATTCATATAGCTTACGAAAATATCAAGTAATTTCCTCAATGCATCGAGTTATATACAAGATTTACTGATCTAACGATCTAATGATTAAATGCTTGAAAATTTCTTGAGTGTGTAAGATTTACTGATCTTTGCGAATTGAGAAATGTTGCGGAATCTTCTGGACAGGATCTCGGTCTGATTATTCACCTGTAAACGGTCTTAGCCTGATGACTGTCAAAACTCAACGACGTGGCCAAGTACCCGGAACCTCTGCCGAGCTCGTTCTCCTTGCCCTCTCGCGAGGTGAAGGTCTTGTCCACCCGCGGCGTGCCCAGGAAGGCTATCAAAGCCGGACAGAACTTCTGCCACAAGAAGGTGGTGAAGTGTGCGTTGGTGTGAATCTTCTGCGGTAACGACGATATGAGCGTGTGCAGGCATTCCAACAGGAAGACCACGGTGTTACCGTTCCTGCCGTTGCTGGAACAGGATTTCCTAAAGATTACGGAGCAGATGGGGAAGATGCAAATTAATCGCGCGACGGTGCATTTTCCTAGAGTCATTCTAGTTCCCTAACACGCATGTTATTTACTTCTGTGCCTCGTCCAGCTTGCTGCAGATGTACTGCAGGATCGGCAGGGCCTCGTTGAAGCACGAGACACCTCTCTCGCGCACGTTCTTGTTCCGCTTCGCGTTCTCGTCCATCTCCTGGCACTCCTCGTCTGCGAGCAATAAGCAAGCAAGCGTCATCGAACAATGACGCATTGAAATGCCACACATTGGCGATGCGTTCGCGACATATAGCGAGCGCCGGTCGTTAAGACGCTTCGCCGATGACATTCATTCTGTTCAAGACGCATTCCACCGGCACGCGAGCTCGTAATTTATCGACCAAACATTCTGACATACCGCGGAAGCTATCGCCGTTGCCATCACCGTCGTCGCCGCGCACCGGCGTCGTGACGCGCATCGCCAACGCGACCGCGGTGGTTTTTATTATTCGTTTTTTCTTTCTCTATCTCCTTTTTTTTTAATTTCCCGCCCGGATTTCCGCGATTACCTAAAAAGAGACAAAACGATCGCAAGGTCTGGCTGGTCGCGGCCTGTGCAGCCGTGCGCACGGCTTGATTCCCATTTTCGAAAGCCTCGCAGCACGTGGTCAATATAGCGATGATCAGGCGGCCGTTCATGGTCCAGTAAGAGGAACAGGCGACTTGCAGTAGAACCTAAAAAAGAAAACGAATAACGCGATACCATTCATATCTCATATTTCTTTTTTTATTTTACAGTGAAAGCTAAACACAAAGAATATGCAATTTCTGTAGTCTTGATTGATAATTATCATTATCCCGCCTGTTTCTCGCTTTTAACGCTCACGCTTCGAATTGTTTCATGATGATAACCATGAGACTCACTTTGAGCATATCCGTCTGCGTGTCGTCGGACTGCGACACGATGGAGCTCATGGCGTGCAGCATTTGCGCGGGCAGCCATAGCGAGTCGTCTTCAGGTTCATAAGGCGACTGGAACCTGTCGTCCCTCAACATTTTCTGCGAATTTGATCAGCGCGATTTTTCGTGTTAGTTATTCGGATATCTATCAAACAACTTAACGCGTAATGTTGCGATTAAAATTTGAAAAATTTATTCGCATGTCAAGGGATCTCTTTTTCTCTAACGCTCCAATTGTACAACGGTCGATTGTCGTAATTGACGTCGTCGCATAAAATATTTGAATTTCATAAGAGCGCGCGTGAAAACGACGAAGAGAAGAATTCCTCTTGTTCCGATCGACGTTTATTAAAAATTCCATGACATTGCAACACGACTTCACTTAAGCCGCAGCTGTTCACCGGTATCTCTCGTTTTATCGCACACAGTTCCGGAACGCACGTTTCCACCAGCGGTCACACCGATGTTGACCAACACACGTAGAGGGAGAAACGTTTAAAGATAAAGTTCCGAACAACTGCGACGTTTTCCCAAGGCCCTTCGCATTTGCCATTTCTTCGTGCAAAAATATTAGCTCATGTGAAACGCGAATTCCTCTCCTCCCCACAAAAGAATTCCATTTAATTTTTAATTTTCTTTTCTTACTATTTTACTCACATGTAATCCCGAGAGCCCAAAAGCGACAAACTTGCTCCTGTTGGTCTCCAATGCTAGCTGAAATGTATGTAGGCATTTCGCGCGCAGTTCGTGAGGCGGATCTCGCAGCAAGCCCTGCTGCTTGTCCAGAAAATCTGCATGGAAGATGAATCATCCCCTTAACACGAGGAACAACCCCGAGTGGCCATGAAGAACACTTGTCTCCGATATCCGGCGTGTAATTAAGCGACACGGTAGTGCCGCGAAATCAAGTACATAATTGCGTTAACGTCGTTACTTCACCGCGTCATTATTACACGTGTCCAAATTGACGTATGTTTGATTTTTGTCGATGAAATTTCCAAATACGATCGAATTAAATGAGCACACATTTACAATTTACATAAGCAACCTGACATAAGGGATCGACTCACGAGCACACTTGACGTTTTCAAAAAGAGGAAACCACAGGCGGAAAGCACGTTTCGCGCGTAAAGTATCTAATTTAAAAAATAGTAATAATAAAACGAATTGTCGAAAGTGCGATGTGAGCTTACCATGCGCTTCCTGCGCCGATTTTCGTAAATTTTGTAGCCTCGCATTGTTCGATTCCCTGACGATCTGCAGCAGAAGATCCTCCATGACACGACGGGCTACCACCGCTACCACGCGACTGATCGATAACGGGAGTGCCGAGGCATGCTTCGTTATACGCACGTCTGCAGGAGCGTAAAACGCATCACCCTTCGATAATCCGACGTATTCGTTGAGAATTTAAGATAATTATTATTAAAATGATAATTACAACCAAAGCATTAATTACATCAGAAAACAGAATAAAAAGTAAAGATTTGAAGTGGCTGTTATGTTAGTTTCTATTTTTTAAATAGATATCCATTCCAAAGGAGACATATTTTATAAATTTTAATATCCATAGATTTTATGTCTCTTGCAAGAATCTAAACGTAAAATGCGTACAGATGGAGATACATAATTTCTATATTTTTTTAAGTAAAAACAATTGAAGATTACCTTGGAGCAGCAAATTGTACTGTGAACATATAACTTATTAGGTTTTTTTTTTTTTAATATACTAGAATTGCACTGAAAAGGAGATATCGCAAATGTTCACAAATATTAGAATAGAAAGACAAATTATGATATTTATAATCAGGGTAATAATCCGTAGAGAACTACAAAGAGTTTTTGAAAAAAAATATCGAAATAGAAATGGTCTAAATTATTTGAATGAACATTTGATTGAAGTGCAAAACTAGTCTTTTTAATTTTAATTTATTATAAATTTTTAAGGGCCTAACCACCAAATTTACTCTGTAACACCATTGGCAATAATGTAAAAAAGAAATAAAAAAATTGTTTGGTAAACAAATGTAATATCTATGAGTCAAAATTTGACAAGTGCAGATAGTACGGAAAGTATAGCTGCACTTTAGTGCAGGTAGCTTGACTCAACCTTCCTGTCTTGCGTCCACACGATCTGTGCATTAGTATTCGTATATGCGTATATTCGTGATGCATGTGTACAAATCAATCGTATATAGCACAGCTGTTGCCTATGGTTGCGTTCCAATATTCACTAGCAATACTAAAAATCTATAGTTGATGTTACGTATACTATAGACTTTCAATGCTGGTAGTAAATATCGGAACGCAGCCTATGGGAGTTTCTGATAATACTGCTTTGAGTTAGTTCCACTAGGACCGAAAGTTTCGTTAGGCACAACCATGTAGTATCTTCATGATTCATGACAACTCAATGCTGTCTTGTATTCCCATGAGATGAGTTAGTAACAGATGTAACTGGCGTAATATCTAAGACACGATATAAGGTAATAATTTTATAAAATTCTATTAGCTACGAAACAATATGTTATTATTAATTTATATTAAGTTTACATTTATTTAATTAAAATGACAATTATGTAAAATTATAATGTATTTTGAAAATTACTTCTTTATATCGTATCTTAGATATTACGTTTCTTTTACCTACTACTAACTCAACTCATGGAAATACAAGACTGCATTGAGTCGTCATGAATCATGAAGGTACTAGATGGTTGTACCTAATAAAACTAGGGCTTTCGGCCCTAGTGGAACTAACTCAAAGCGGCGTTATTAGAAGCATTCTATGTCAGTTTGTCAAAGACAAGAAAGGTAATTTTTTAACACGTTCCTTATAATACAATGTAATACAAATTACTTGTATTTTAATGAAATATATTAATGTTTATATATTTATATGTTATTAACATTTTTAGCGTATCATTTATTAAAATATAAATACACAATCATATAAAAACATTATTAAAACTTATTATATAATACATTCATTTTTGCAGTGAAATTTATTTATTTATATTCCTCTCATCGGCTCGTCCATGTAGCAATGCGGTAATTGCTGCTTTTCGATATTCACTTCCGGTAATAAAAATCTATGGTATACATAACATAAACTATATTATTTTCAATTATTATTCAAGTATTATTTTCAGTATTAATAGTGGCTGTATTGTAATGAAATTATTGATAGTGCTAAAAATTTATAGTATACGTGACACGAACTATAGCTCTTTAACTACGCTGGAACACTGGAACGCAGCTAGTGAATATCGGAACGCAGCCAACGGTTAAACGGATCGTTCTAGTGGAAGCAGCATATAGAAAGGAAAATGCTCGGAATATGCGAACTTCCAATTGTACCGCATTCTGTTTGACAGCACATGGCTTACTGTGCCGAAGATGGCGACTAAGAGTGACAGGAAACGCAAAGCGAGCGAAAAACCGGCACACGAAAGCTCTGCTTTTTATCATTTGGTTGTAACTCTTCTAGGTAATGATATTTACACTTTGCGCGCGAAAAGATTATGCCAACGGCGCGTTTGACAAGTTAAAAAATTCGTGGGTTATTTGGCAACGAAATAAACCCTGCTCCGATTCTCACAGGTTTGAGTTTCGGTTACCTGCACAGTTTGCACGTATCCACGCTGTTCGAGAATGACCGGCACTTCTCTCATCTCTCGGAAATCGAACGTGAAATGTCCTTCAGGACCGAGATGGTACGACAGTAGGTGACAGTACTTTACGTATTCGTAGTTTGCTTTGCTCCATGACAGTGTTTTCACATCTTCCTTTTTTCCCAGGGAATGTACTATTCCTATTACAAAACTATCGCCGAGTCGAACAATTTCTTCGAGGGCATGGAGAAGCTCAGCCACGACAATCTGTCCGAGTATGGGAACGTTATCGACGCTACCAGAAAGTACAGCCTTTTGCCTGAGGTAACTGCAAGCTCTTCATTATCACCTGGATGTAATTACAACGAGACTTCCTCCTGTTACTTTTTGCATAGATTGTGATAGGTTTCTTGTATCACGTGGTGAAAAATCTCGGCATCGTATCTCAGGAGCAATGTTGGGTGGTAAGACTCGCAGGATTTCTTTGTATAAAGCTAAGGAAATTCGCGAGAGTAACTGTAATTTCGTGATCCTCAGATAGAGAGAGGAGACGGACTGCCGCATGTGACCAGCTGCGAGGGCCTTGGCGTGCCTGTGTATTTCTACTTGGAGATAGTGTGGTTCACCACGATGTTCACCGGGGCGATGCTTTTTTATTATGGAACTTACCTGAGCGACTCCATCTATGGCGGACTCGTGACAATCCTGTTCTTCTTCTTCAACCACACTGAATGCACCCGTGTGCAATGGACACCGCCGTTGCGAGAGACCTTCGCGTATCCTATGCTGCTCTTCGAAATGTACAGCGTTACCTTGGCGATTAAAAAATACGCGAAACACGAATCCGACAAAGAGCCGTCTTGGTTGAAGAATAGGACTAGACAAGGATTATTCGTGGTAATATATGAAGTATTCTTTTCTCTGACGATTTACGAAGCCAATTTTTTGCTATCGCGATTTCGCCTCTTCAGGATATATTCGGCTCGACAATCTGCAGCTTGTGCACGTGGCAATTCTCGCACTTCGTGTTCGCCACGCAGATTATAGCGCTGCTGATACTCAAGTGGTTGAGGATCGTCCCGTACGATTTCTACAAGAACTTCTGCATGACTCACGCGTTAGCTATCGCGGCAGCTACCAACATAACGAACGGCACTCTCCTAGTGTCTTCGCTCTACATGTGCCTCTTGATCAGTAGCAACGCGGCCAGTCTGATCATGAAGCTGTCCCGATTCCAGAACACCAAACGCGAGATCATTCTCGAGATTGCGATGACGATCATTTTCACCAAATGGATCAAGTCCTATGTCCTGTATTCTCAGGACGACGCCCACGTGTTCAACATACTGAAGTCAAAGTTGACGGACTACAGGGACTTCCACACGATGCTCTACACTTGCTCGGCGGAATTCGATTTTTTGCAGTACAAGACGTACGAGGCAATTGTCAAGACTTTACTGTTACCAACGGCGATACTCGCCGGGATGCTTGCGTTCTACTACTGGTACAGAAGCTTCAAGACAGGTGATTATCCGCGCTGCATAGAGGCCGATATGGCGTATAACGGCTTGCAGACCGGCGCATTCATCGTCATGGCGGTTTTCATTATGAGACTGAAACTCTTTATGACGCCGCATCTCTGCATAATCGCCGGCGCGGTCTGTAGCAAACGGTATCTCGAAAAAGTCGGCTTGAAGAGCGAGCTGATGCGAGCCGCAGTCATTTTCCTTCTGGTGAGCGGCATGTCGTATCACGGTGTCGAGAGATTCAAACAGGAGCGTGGATTTATAGGTAATTCAAATCGATCGATTTTCCATCGCGCGCACTTCCAAATATTAAACAATCATGTAATTTATTCGTTTCTCACATAGGCGAATACAGCAACATTGAGCAAGAGGAATTATTCGAGTGGATAAAAACTAATACACCAAAGCACGCTGTATTCGCGGGGAAAATGTCGTTGATGGCGAATCTCATGTTGTCCACCAAAAGACCGATCATTAATAATCCTTACTACGAGAGCAAAGAGATGAGGTACGTCTTCTAATTAGATTAAAACTCTCCGCACACGAAATGCTAGTAAAAATAAACATCAGATGTTAATTTAGTTTCGAATGTTCTAAAAGAAGATATAAAAGATAGTAAATTTAACTTCAAGCAAAAACATTTCAACCGGTTAAATTTACACGTAAAAGCCTTGAGAATTAGAATTATGTGTATTTCCTGCTCTCACAGAGCAATATATTTACTTACGAACGTTTCATGACATTACAGAGACAGAACTATGAGGGTTTACGAGATCTTCAGTCGGAAAGACGCTGCTTCCGTGTACACCTCTCTAAGAAACATGAAGGTCGGTTACGTCGTATTGGAGGAACCTCTGTGCCTTGGATTCGCGAATTTGTAAGTACGAGACGAAGTCACGCTGACAGCAAGTTGCATAACGTCGAATTTTATTTCCATTCCAGGCCACGTGGATGTCAAATGATCGATTTATGGGACGTGACGGATAATGGAACGTCGAAAGCCGCAAACAAGCCGCCGCTGTGTCCCCTTCTGTTCCAAGGGAACGCGTATCCGTTCAAAAGAGCGTTTATTAACAGCAACTACGTCGTGTTGCAGCTGGACTACTCACACTACGTAGAGTTCAAGCCAAAGACTTCCATGCCACTGCATTATCAGTTCTAAATAGATGTTGCCCTCGAACAATGCGGTATATACCTTGTGAGACTGTAAAAAAAAAAAGAACTTATTTTTCTTAAAACAAAAGAGAACTATGTATATGCAGAAATCTATATATATACATATATGTATACATATATATTTTTTAATACAGAGATTCGCACGCGAGCGAGTTCAATGTTGACGCCGCGCGATCTCAGCAAAGTCTATCCGTAGATATTGTATATATTATAAACTGTGAAGGGGCATTTAGGTATTTTAAGACACGCACAATGTTCCCGGCATTACACAACAACGCCAATATATTGTTTAATCCGTGAAGAGAGCCTTTCTCTGTCTCTAGAATTTGCAGCTCTTCATCTTAATATTCGCAGAATAATTTCCAAATGCAGCTTGTATATCGCTATCGTACAGCAGCTGTCGATGAAACATGAAAGTTTCGTACATTAACACACATAGCTATGTAATTCGCTAAATGCCGTGATAATGGAAACGACATGCCATTTTTAGTCGACACAGATAAGAATGCACATGATAGCGTAATGCCTCGTTTCACAACACGTGATGTACACATTTGTGATAATTTTCTTATACTTAAGACGCGTTTGTCGATAATGCGCCTTCGACGAAACGAACAATTCGTAGACACATACACAATTGTTATACAAACCCAATCATCGTGTTCATGCATCCCGCTGTAGAGAGAGAAAAGACGAAGAAGCGCAAAGGCATCTGTGCCAACGGTCAATATCGCTACCTATTTATATGTACGAATCTATTCCCTCGCATTTCAATGAATTTCTCATTTCACCGACTAACGGCACTCTCGCAGCGCACGCATACCGGACAATAAATCCTCGCTGTGTCGCGTCGAAGTTACGCTCGTTAGATCGCACCTGTCTACTTAATCGTACCGTATGTGACCATATATAAATGTTATCATAATTTTTTAAAATAAAGACATTCTCAACATATGTGAAAATGCAAAGGAAGAAATTTTTGTCGCGCCCTGAACGCTCATTCGCGCTTCTTTTCATCTGTAAAATCGACGACCCCGTGGCTCTTCTCCGCCGTCGATGGAAGATCGATGGGGAGCACGATCGGGATGATAATGCACGATGGGGAGCGCGGCTCGAAAATTTGCATTTCTGCGTGGCTTTCCGCCCGAATGATCCCAGGTGTGGACTCGCGGGAGATGCCCCGGAAGAAAAATCGAACCGCGCGGCGAAGATAGCTCCGTTATAACGCACGTAGCACCTTCACTCCGGAGCTGTAACAGATAGTATAGTCGAGAGGCAGCAGCCTTTGGTATACTACGTTGTGCCGCTGACCCAAATGAATCCTGGCCGCCAGTCAGTCCCGCTCCGGGCTTCTTCGCGGCATTATTGCTCGCTCGGCGTTCTCCGCGCTCGGACTCGGCTCTACCTGTCAATTTTCTGCCGCTCTTTCTGTTCTTTTCATCAACGCCGACAAGCGTGGGAACCCAAGAACGTCGAGGGGCTCTAACGAGCATTGTCGCATCACCGTTCCACCCTCGTTGTTCCTCCCCCGGCGCAATCGTGTCGAATTTTGCCGTGGTGTGACCATTTGTGATCGCTCCGAGAGGACGCGCAGTGCCGATTATTATGAATTTTACCATGACCGACTGACGCCTCGGAGATCTCGCGAAAATCTCGCAGAGAATTCATCCGCGCGATTTCGATCGTTCGCGCGCCAGGCAGCCGACGCAACCGTCTCGATCTCGGCTGTGCGATCCCGCTGATCGATCGCAGCTTGAATCGCGGGGATCGAATTCCTCCCCGTGGCCTGGTGTATCGTGCGTGCTAAAACGGTGCCGCTGTTCGTCCGCGAGTGAAGGCACTCTCCGGGTTTAGACGGTTCCACCAGCTGCCGCCCGTCAAAGCCGGGAGAGCGACGAGAAGCAACGCGGAAAGACGCGATCTGAAAATACACATCCCGCGGATACGTGGATCGGCCGAGTAGGAGCGGCCGTGCAGAATGTGAGAGGGTGTCGTTGCCAAAGAGTGAGACGAGTTCGCAGGACATCGGCAGGACCACCGGCTCTACCCGACCGGAGCACGCGCATCCTGTGCCAGGCTCGTCCTAGCGATGCGACATTCCACGCTGCTCCCACGTAGTCATTGACAATCAGCAGTGAGTAGAGAAGGAATAAGTAAGCGATTAGGAGATTACGATGAAGATATGTTAGGAATATTTATTGCGACTTTTGAACGCGCACATTCATGCAATTTCGGAGTCGATTTTTCAAGAACAGTTTTTCAACTTAGATTGAAGTTCAAAACTCTGTTCTAAGAATGTGTTTGAACGTTGAACATTGAACGTTTAAACGTTGCTTAAACTGAAATCTAAGTTGAAGTTCCTTCTACTGAAGAACCAGCCGCCTCACAATATTATTATACAATTCTATCGTATCTGTAGAGAGAAATAATTGCAAGTTACATAAGCAAGCTGCGCAGGTTGTGGACGCGAATGACGCGTTTGAAATTTTCAGTTTTTTTTTCTCTTCGCCGGGAGGATCCAAATCGTGCCTCAATGTCCCAGAATAACGATCTACTCCGCTGCTCTTTTTCTAATTTCCAACTGGCCGGCTCGGAGCACGGCGGAACGTCAAGGACGTGTCTTCCTCGCGTCCTTGCGTCGGCTTATGGACGGTGCATTAATTCGCTCAATGAGCATAACAATGTAAATGCAGCCCTCAATCAGATACACCGTCCGTAGTGGCCGTTCCTCTGGAGTGCCGCAATTTCACGGTAATACTCGCTCCACCACTGCGGAATATTATATCTGTGATTGCCGGTACGGATTTTGAATATGTAGCGCGCGTGCCTCTGCGCGCCACTCCGCTCGGCAGACATATAATTTTGTAAGCACGTAATCCGCATTTACATCGGAATCCGACACGCATAACGTAGAGAAGGAGAGGGAGGGAGAGAGAGAGAGACCTGTTCTCGTTGCACAACTGCAATGGACGCGATTCGCGACGCGTACACACTAATGTTGCTACAAATCCGCGATGTGCGAGTCTGAATTCATCAATCAGGTCGAATCTTCCGATGACGGAGAACACTGGTCGATGACGAAGCGCGAGTGGGCGTGCAATATGCATTTTGCTCTCGCGAGCAAAAGGAGAAAAGTAACTGTACAAGAGACGCACGAGAATAAGGGAGTAGACATGCATTCTTCGGTACCGTTTCTCGCCGTTGTAAATCGACTCGCAACGCTATATCGAGCGCGATCGGTAGCAGAAGCTTCGCAATACGCGTAAAACCCGTTCCTCTTTGGCCTCGAAACCGCCGAGCGTGCGCGGCACCGCGCTCGGTCGGATCGGGTTTAGGAATTTGGCACATGCCGAGTTAGGAGTGCTTCCCTCAGTCGACGCTTAGAGCGAATAGAGAACGAAAAAGATCGGCGAATAAAGATGCAACAACAACAACAACAAAGACATGCCAGTTGTCATAAATTTCATGATGAAATTATCGATTACCGGAAAACACAAGATTCCTCTTCTGTTTCTTACTTATTCTCTGAAGAATTCAAAATTATTTCGGAGAAATCGCTCACTTATTCCAGAGAAAGTCCGACGCAGTCGACATTTTCATTCTGCAATCATTTTCTCCCCGAGTAATTTTTACCTGCGGCCGCAGAGAGTATACCTCGCGCGTGTGATTTTAATCGTAGGAAAGAATTTTGATCGTAACCAAAGCGAATGTACGCGCCTAATCGTGGCGAGCGGAGCGACAGATCGACGGTGTCGGTTACTTTCTCAAAGCACGTTCGTATTCGTAACCTACTTCGAACGGCGATGCAGTAACCGGGTGCAGACAGCAGGACGGTGTCCGTGCCAAGACTCGAATTAGAAACATCTAATTCGTCAGCCTCGGCCACGGTGCTCGGTGTCACGTTCGCTCCTCTATCGCGTTGGACTAATACTGTCCCCACATCGCACAAAAACAGATTAAATCACGAATTAAAAGAAATCAACCAAAACTCTGTAAGAATAATTTCCAGAATTGGACGTAATCCCATATAGCACAAATGTTTATTAGATATCCTAAGAACGTTCTAAGAATATTCGTATATTCATAAAATATTCGAATATTCATAATTTTTAGAATATCTATTGGATATTTGTGCTGTATGGGATGATGGATAACAAGCATTCTAAAAGATGAACGGAAAGATATCACAAATTGAAAAATTGTCAAGCAAAATCCTGACTTCGAGATAAATCCATGTAAAGTCTTTTTATCTTTTATAATTCGAAGCATCACTGTAAAGATACGTCAGTTTGTATTTTATTATTTACATAAATGTAGTCGTTCGTTTGTAAGTCAATAAACGACGTAGGATTCCAGAAAAGTTACTTTATCTTTGTTACCCGTCCACCGGGTGGTCTCACCGTTTTACCGAGGAACCGTGAAATGGAATCCCAAGGTGGAGGTCGCCAGACTCTCGTCGACATTCTTTCGGAATCGGTTAGTGTGTGAACGCGGAAGAGAGAGGAAGAAAGAAAAAGATCAAATCGGAGAAAGGAGGAGGCGCAGATAATGGACGGCTTATCGCAAAAGTTTCACACGACCGAGTTAGAGCACGATCCGCCGGGAGGACGAACGCAGCAGCGATGACACGAGATCATTTTCATGTAGGCGCCGCGTCCCAGCGTCAGCTCGCGCTAATTGAACGAAGGTCATAATCATAAATGTAATTCCGCCGCCCGCGCTCGCTCCGTTTATTTCACATCGCGAGCGTAAGGCGCGATCGCTCACCGCTCTCCAATGTTCTCCGTACGCGCCCGTCGTCGCCGTTGCACGCGTTGAAGTCACCACGCTTGCGGCATTCGGTCGCACGCTGCTCTTCCGCGTCAACACGCTCGAGCGTTGCTTGCACGTTCACGCATTCCGCGCGTTCGAGACCTCCTGACACCTGACGGGATATTCCAAGAGGAGAAACGAACCTTGGAGTGATTCGAGGCTGACTTCTCTCGACCAAAGATATGTGGAAATCGCGTGAGAGATAATTTTTTAACCCTCCACGTGCAACGTTGGGTCGATGAGACCCGAAAGAATATTCGACCGCTCGTTAACTTTCTTAAAGGATCCGAGAAAACCTACTTAACACTACCTAATAATGTCATGCTGTTTAAAGATTTCTATTTTGTTACACGACTACCTCGCAGTTGAAACTTTTCTGTATTTCTAAAAAGAAAATGATGTTTAATAAAATTGAAAAGTAGTTTAAAGTTGTCCGAGAGGCCCAGGTCGTTCTATATGTCCCAAAAGATATGATGTAAACAAGGAATTAACTTCCAATGTCGGAGAAACCTACAGAACTCTTGAAAAAGTCACGCTTCGAACGCGCGACCGAGAGAACGCGTGAACGCGTTGGAGACAGAGTCCGAGCTGGTCGAGCAGCAAACGTACAAAGTGGGTTATATGTGCGATTTGAGGCTGCGCAACTGTGGCTATTCTCCGTGAAAAGTAATTGATTATTCAACGACAGATTCAAATCAGGATGTGATAGCGATAGTGAGAGAGACACAATGCGGGCTACGTTTAGGAAGTACTTTACTTGCACAATGCTTTAACCGTGTTACCAAGTGCAACCGTGAGCGATATCTATTAAATGGAAAGCTGTCTCTCGCTTCGTCTACACGCTTCGGCTATTTAGTCGATCGGTTTCTAAACTTGCCAGACTTTCGTAGATTTCATTCCCCACTGACGCAGCGACTCCTTCGATCGCCGCTTCTTCGGACACCACTCCTTCCTCATTGTGTGTATTCATGAAGCGCGCGCGCGAAGAGAATCGTAAACATGATATATGGCAGACCATTCGATTTGATTTTCTTCTAAGCGGGGGATTGTTGAAGGATCATTAATAACGACGACGATCACTTGTCTGATGAGTAATTTATTTCCACTGCTCACACAACAAAATCAAATTGTCGACTTAAAGACTTGATGATCTTTTGATGACCTGATAATAAATATTTCAACTCGTGTAAAAATTTCCCAAACATTCCGAGGTATTGCATAGATTCCCAGCAGATTATCCAAACTTGTTCCAAATAGAGGGATTGTATTATGATAGCAATTGGAAATCCCATTCTTATCCTAACTATAGATAATTTTCTGGAATGTAATTGAAATTTATTTCAATTTCTCAAATAATTAAAGTTGAAATAATTAAAATGGGAAACACACACACACTCAAAAGCAGAAGAAAAATAACGTATCAAAAGATGAAAGAAAAAAGAGGGAACAGAGAATAACAAAATGATAATTAGCACTTTCATAATTATGGTTTGTAGAAATATAAAGTCTGTTCTTTTTAAAATATAAGTTGTTATATAATTATTCTTATAACTTATCAATTGTTAATAGTAAATAATTACGATACATTTGAATGTTTAATATGATGTTAAAGTTTTACATTTAAAGTAAAAATATAATATGCATTGTTTTATATTTAATACATATTCATAATTTACTTCTTACTAAAAAAGAAATGGAGTAAAATACTCAAAACAGTTTATTTATGCTTTTTAAGTGTTTATACTTTTAAAATGTGCATAAATACATAAAGTGTTTCAGATATTTTCTTCGACATAAGTATAAAAAAATAAAAATAAATATAAAATAGAAAACAGAACCCATCATTTTTGTTGGGAAATTAAAATAAATTCCCTATTAGATTCTAGAAAATTTTCTATACGGCGAAATCTTATACAAAACAAAAAGATTCTGTTGAAAATGAAATCTGTCTTTAATGAAATCTCTTCGTTGTATACGTGAACGCATATTTTAATGATACTCCCATATTCGGAATTCGAAATGTACCGAATATCTTTCGACTTATCTGGAACAGAAACAGAGAGAGAAAGAGAGAAAGAAAATGCACATATTTTAATTCTGGATGCGACGCATCGTTGATATCCTAGTTTCGGTCGGAGTTACACGGTCGCGTTCGGAGTTGAATGTACGACGAAAACTTGGGTCAATAGTTGCCTGGATCGTTTTGTGCCGCATTCGTGGCGGCTCGGGGGATCCTGAACCGCGCAGGATCCTGCGCATCTTCACCCGGGACGGGATCTCCTCTGCGGAGATATTATCTCTGTGAAACTGGTCCGTGGTCCGCCTGCACCGCCGAAAGAAGGTCGGGCACCGGTCGGAGCGGGACAGCGTCATCATCCCCTCGACTGGCGGCAGGTTCACCTCCGCGAGCCGTTTTTCTGACCTTGGTCCCTTCTGCACCTCTCGGCATTCCAACCTAATCGAGATACGCGTCCCGCTGACAAGTCCTTGATCGGAGGCCTATACGTGTGGGATACATTGCGATGGACGCGCCTTGATTGACGTATCCACCTTCGACCTCGAGCGGCGTAAAACACTTTACATAATGCCGTAAAGCAAACTCGCCTGATCATCTCGCGCGGACTAATGAGCCGCGCTTACGCTTCTCATGAGCGGCAAAGCAGCGTGCACGCGACGACACGAATTTTATAGAGCACTCATAAGTATATTCACAAAACTATATGCGAACTATCGAGATATTAACTAACTTGTTTTGTAGGAAATGTTGCCTCGACAAGATAAAATTATACCGGAACTCAGACACCTTATATGCCAACAGGAAACATAAAAGATATCGTCTCGTTAATAATTATGTAATTCAGCTTTCGCGATATAAAATTTCTATTAAAGATGTAGTGTTATTTATCAGTATGTTAATAATAAATTTGCCGCATGATTGC